CCTGGATGAGAGCGGTGTCAGGGTAGTTCACACACTAACTATAAATGTTAAATACTGTTTGTATTTATTGTGTAACAGGGCCTGAACAGGGTGCTGGATTGTTTTGCACACAATTTTAAATGTTCCTGGGGAAAAATTATATATATAAATAAATGATATTAAACAAATACTCTTGCAACAATTATTTCCATAAAGTACATATTAGTAGCCTAATATGCAAAATAATAAGCCTAATTAGGGATAGGAAATATCCATTACCAAAATCACAAACACAATGAATGTTTTAAAAAAATTAAGTTGTAATTACTGTAATATTAAATACAATTAGAAAATGTTACAAAATGTGTTAAATATTACAAATAATATTATGATATATTACTGTAATATATAATAATATATCAATAAATAATATTTATTTTGTTTCATTTTTGTGATGTGTTTTTGTAAAGTTGTAATTTTGTCATAATACTGTTTTGATCAGTTTGCTATTTGCAGTGATTAATATTTACTGTTTTTCATGGTGTGTGTGTTTTGGTGAATTAAGTTAAAACTATTTGAAATAAAATAAAAAATAATATAGTAAAATAATTGTATATTGAACCCACGACAATTAACAAACAAAAACATACAAAAATGTATTGTTTTATTTCTGAGATAATAACAGGTGAGATTTCAATGATGTTTTGACCTGAACTAGGAAATGTCCCCAGTTTTCATTTCAGAAATCTGGTCACATTAGTTTAAATATTGTAACTCTATTCCGTCTTAAAGGAAAAGTTCACCCAAAAATGAAAATTTGCTGAAAATGGACTCACCCTCAGGCCATCCAAGATATAGTCCCAGTTTTCATTTCAGAAATCTGGTCACATTAGTTTAAATATTGTAACTCTATTCCGTCTTAAAGCAACAGTTCACCCAAAAATGAAAATTTGCTGAAAATGGACTCTCAGGCCATCCAAGATATAGATGAATTTGTTTCTTCATTGGAACATATTTGGAGAAATGTACATTACATCACTTGCTCATCAATGAATCCTCTGCAGTGAATGGGTGCCGTCAGAATAAGAGTCCAAACAGCTGATAAAAACATCACAATAGTCCATAAGTAATTCACACAACTCCAGCCCATCAGTGAACATCATGTGAAGCAAAACGTTGCGTGTTTATAAGAAACAAATCGATCATTAAGGCGTTTTAACTTTAAACCATCGCTTCTGGCCAAAATACCAGTCAACGCTCCCTCCAGTGAAACATAAACTGCTAGAGCATTTTGCTAGCAATACAATAAATGTATTCCTCATTTTTAATTAATAGATAATAACAAGTGAGATTTCAATTATATTGTTTTTCATTTCAGAAATCTGGTCACCTTAGCTTAAATATTGTAACTGTTTTCTTAATAAGGTCTTGAACTGCTAGAACATAGTTTAAGCCTAGATATTTCCATGAACATCTCAGGAATCCCAAACAATGTGTCAGTGCTTTCCACAAAGCCACCCTCCCTCATATTCATAACAACAAATGCACCAACGGCATGAAGATTTATGGTTTTGAAGCAATTTAATAAGCTATTTTTGCTTTGCATGCACAAATTTGTACGTTTGGCGCATTGTGGCACCCTTGAACACCATCCACACCAGCATTGCTTCATTCGGTATGCAATAGACATATAACATTACAACGTTTTAATCACTCTTGTAAATCCAGCCCCTACCACTCTATGCCATTCAAAGCTGATGAGGTGGACAATAATTGCCAACATGGAAGCTGAGAGATCCTAATCATCAGGTGTAATCCTACAAGTGTTAAACCACACTGGATTGGCATGTTTGCATGAGACGAGTCCCTTTGTATGTGATTATATTGTTGTTTTCCCCCAATACCACAGTATAAACTGCAAACCTCTAGTGAGCCCTTCAGCTTGACCACAGAAAATGGTCACATTACATACAATTTACTATAGTGGATAACTCTAAATGCTTTGTATGTTTTCTGGTGCATGGAATGATGCTGGAGCCGAGCTGGAGTGATTTCCTCCTGCAGTGTCTGTCCAATCAGGCCGAATGGGTGTTTTGCAGGATTTTGTGGTGGAGAAATTCGCTTCTGCGTGGGACAGTGATTTAGCGTGGCTTTTTCACTCATTCCCTCTGGCACTGAAAGCTGTCATCACGAGTTTCCTTTAAGAACCAGAACAGCAGCTATAGCACGGAAAGTCAGACGTTGTAGCGTTAGACTTGGAGCCTTGTGTTTGTCTTCCTCCTTCACGGAGAGTGAATTATATGGCTTGGCGTGTCTTGTGGGTTGCTTTAGATTCTTAAACTGCCTTGTTACTAAAACATGTATGGGCCATATGAAAATTTGTTTTATTTTTCCAGATTACTTGTTTTCCTTTTAAATGTAAATTTAAAATTTAATTTAATTTAATTTTAATAAATGATAATTATCAAAAAGCATGTCTTCTCAACTGAATTCATAAAACTTTTCAATGTATATAGTGGCTTTTTCACTCATTCCCTCTGGCACTGAAAGCTGTCATCACGAGTTTCCTTTAAGAACCAGAACAGCAGCTATAGCACGGAAAGTCAGACGTTGTAGCGTTAGACTTGGAGCCTTGTGTTTGTCTTCCTCCTTCACGGAGAGTGAATTATATGGCTTGGCGTGTCTTGTGGGTTGCTTTAGATTCTTAAACTGCCTTGTTACTAAAACATGTATGGGCCATATGAAAATTTGTTTTATTTTTCCAGATTACTTGTTTTCCTTTTTTTAATTCCTAAATTTAATTTAATTTAATTTTAATAAATGATAATTATCAAAAAGCATGTCTTCTCAACTGAATTCATAAAACTTTTCAACTTTTTTTTTTTTTTTAACTATTAAAAATGATGGTGACCTGTAATGTAGAAATTCTGTGTGTTCTGTTTAAATTTTTCTGGATTCTGTGTTTTATCATTTAATACAAATGTATTATCAAAAACAATTTAATTAATATTTTAAAATGTAATCAAATGAAAATTGAACAATTACTTACATTTTTTGGCAAACAAAGTGCTGCATAAATGTCACATATGTAACCTTCGTTCTCTGAAGGAGGGAACGGAGACGTTACGTTTACACTGACGTTAGGGGTCTCACTTGGGAGTCCCAATCACCTCCGAGTAGTAAAAAAACAGGTCAATGAACATTGCAGAGTGAAATTTGCTTGCCCAACCACTCCCCAGTAGACACGTTTCAGGTTCCACTCGTTCAGGTTTGTGCTGAGGAGCCAAAACCATGTCCTGGCCATTCAGTGGTGTAGTTCAAGGTTGTGGCAGGAGAGACATAACGTCTCCTTTCCCTCCTTCATGGAACGAGGGTTACATACGTAACCGAGACGTTCCCTTTCAGTCAGTCATGTTCGACGACACTGACGTTAGGTGGTCCCTATGGAAAACGCCACAACCACTGAACTGTGTTACGAGGGTTGGTGATGCAGATGTATGTAAGCTCTGATCTACCAAGTAACAACTGGCATCCCAAATCGCAACCTACCCAGTGCCCCATCTTCAACCAACAGGAAAACTGTACTGTGGAAGAATACATACATGGGATTACCAGAAGCGAATCACTATGTGACGAGTGGGGCAGGGCCGAGAGCCGTGGGAGCTTTTTTTTGAGAGATTTTGCTTCTCTTCTACTCTTTTAGAGATGAATGGGAGAGTGATCGCTCAAACACGAACAACCACTCAGCTCCGAAGCAAAAATCTGAATGAGTGAATGCATGCCGCTCTCTTGTATACACGTGTATGGGGGAGTGGCTGAACTGGGCATCCAAACATAGGCGAAACACCACTGAATGTGCCGTCAGAATCACCAGCAGCAAGAGAGATTTTGCTTCTCTTCTACTCTTTTAGAGATGAATGGGAGAGTGATTGCTCAAACAGGAGCAACCACTCGGCTCCGAAGCAAAAATCTGAATGAGTGAATGCATGCCACCCTCTTATATACCCGTGTACAGGGGTGTGGCTGGGTATGCAAATTCCATTCGCTAATGTTCATTGGCCTGTTTTTACTACTCAGTGGTGATTGGGACTTCCAAGTGAGACCCCTAACGGCAGTGTCGACGTAATGTCAAACGAATATTGAATTTTATAGGGCTTATTATTCCAATCATTGGTATCTTCTTGTCTAAGTTGGCGGTTCTTGGGTGGAAAACGTTATAAAATGAACCAGACATTGTGCCATTAATCAGAAGTCTTTCTGTGGGACACTAAACATAGGTTTAATTCATGTTGGCATGAAGGTTGGGGAAGTGGATTAGTTCAGGGGAATTTGGGGGGGTTTTGCAGCACAATGAGACAGATGTTTATCGTGCGGAAATCAATGACAGAATGAGCAAGTGCTGGAATAATATAAATGTTGTCTGAAATTATTTAACCATGAAGCACTGTATGCAGTTTTCTGCTAGCCCTACTTGAACCCAACATTATTCATGTGAGATATGACTTTCTACATAAATCAATGAATATATGAATGATCATATCAATGAACGATCATATCGTTGATGAAGCTTTATGATGAATATAATAACTTTTTTTCAGAAAATGTAAATTTTGATTGCCTATGCAGAACTGACTTACTACTGTGAGGTATTTTGAGTGTTTTTTTTTTTTTTTGGTACACTACCATTCAAAAGTTTGAGAAAAAGTTGAAAAGAAGTCTAATATGCTCACCAAATACAGTAAAAATGTGAGACATTATTAGTTTGAAATAACTGTTTTCTATTTAAATATATTTTAAAATGTCATTTATTCCCGTGATGCAAAGATGTACTTTCTGCATCATTACTCCAGTCTTCAGTACAATATCCTTCAGAAATCGTTCTAATATACTGATTTGCTGCTCAAAACAGTTGTGCTGATTAGTTAGTGTTTTAACTACTTATTTTTTTGCTAATGAAAATGCTTTATATGGGGTAAATAAACCTTATGACATGACTTACACTATCTATTTTTTTCTTTCAGATCCACATATCAAAGTTAGTGGTAAGAGGGACAATGTGAAGGAAGCCAAGGAGAAGATCATGTCTGTCCTGGACACTAAGGTGAGCATGTCAAGTCATATTGGATCATTCTTATTTGATATGTCATTGTGCATTTGAAAAATGCCTCATTCGTCATCCCTGTCATTCTTGGTTGCTGTAGTAGCTGGATGCGTTTGGTTTTAGGACAGCTGTGACATTTGAAGCAATGGAATTTGAAGATCCTGAGAGGAAATATGTGGAGCCTGACATCAAGAGCTCCTCATATATTTATAAGGAATGAATCATGGCTTAAATCACATTGGGCAAAAGGAAGACAAATGCCATTGCATGGTACCTTTGGGTGACTCCTGGTAGCTGGCATCTGTGGTATCTGCTTTATCAAAACATTAGAGATTGTAATAGAAATTGTACAACTGATTTTAGACTATATCCATTCTTCTGGTAATTTGTGCCAGACAGAATGCAGAACATCCACCAACTCCAACTGAAGAGTTTGTTGTAACATCACTATATATTTGTGTGGTAATTTCCTCATATTTTTGATGTGAAATGGGAAATGTTGTGTATTGACATCTGTCTGTAGACTTGATGTAATGAAAAACTGACTTGGCTGTAGCTCATAGATCTAATTCAGTCTGTCACAACTTTAATGAAGCTGCTCAAAGGGGCGGGATCTGTATTCATTTGTTCACTTTTAAAATATGTTCAGTGTTTCAATACTGAAAGTGCAAGCAACTTCCTCAGCTCAAAAAACACTGCATTGATGCTAAGCACAATTAGCCACCATGAGCAAACATGGCGCATTTTGAATCAGATGCTTCTGGGAAGTCCTGTGCCAGCCAAGCAAGTATCATTGAGTCATTGAGATAAATAAGTTAAAAAAAAAAATGCAATAAAAACAGTGATATTGTGAAATATTTTTCTGAACTGTTTTGCATTTGAATATATTTTCAGATGTAATTTATCCCTGTGATGGCAAAACTGAATTTTCAGCAGCCATTACTCTATTATTATCAATGTTAAAATCAATTGTGCTGCTTCATATTTTTGTGACATGTTTTTTAAATCAGATACTTCTGGTATATTCTGGTAAATATGCGGTACTTCTGATATACTGTATATGGGAATGCTATTGGACAAATAATGGCATAGAAATTACACCGAGGTGGCTATGGTACCGCAGTTAATGCAATCCGACTCTTTTGTTTCCTCAGAGCAATCGCGTGACTCTAAAGATGGACGTCTCACATACCGAGCATTCACATGTCATCGGCAAAGGAGGAAACAATATCAAGAAGGTGATGGAGGACACGGGCTGTCACATCCACTTCCCCGACTCCAACCGCAACAACCAGGCTGAGAAGAGCAACCAGGTGGGATTCTGACTTACCCTGCTCATGTAAACATGTCCAAATCTTATTTCACCCCAACAATCAAAAGAGAATTTTTTTTTTTTTAAATTTGTGCATAAACAAAAATGACGCCTATTTTCAGGACCGGTAGAATCTTTATTATTTTAGCATTATTTTTATAATAATTAAGCACAAGTTTTCGTTTACATAATGTGTATGTACGTTTTACGTTGTTATTATTTTCAGTAGCTGTAATTCAGTATTTGTTTTTTTAAATAATTGCATAAATATCACTGCAATAGTGAGAATGGTGGTATGATTAATTGTCATTATAAATAATGATAAATGTCAAAAATTGTGATGTTCTAAAAATAACTTTTTTATTCAAATTAAATAAATCAATCGGTGATAAAACAAGTATCTTATGCTGCATTTATTCAATTTAAAAAAACACAGTAAAAAAACGGTGATATTGTGTAATATTATTACAATTGAACTGTTTTCTGTTTTAGATTATTGTAAAATGTAATTTAATTCCTGTTGAATTTTCAGCATCATTACTCTAGTCTTCAGTGTCACGTGATCCTTCAGAATTCATTCTGATATGCTGATTTGATGCATTTTTAAGAAACATTTCTTATTATTATAAAAGTTGAACACAGTGCTGCTTAATATTTTTGTAGAGACTGATCTTTTAATTTTTTTGTCAGATTATTCTTTTGTAACATTATAAAAGTCCTTCCTGTCACTTTTGATCAATTTTATGCATCCTTGCTGATTAAAAGTATTAATCTCCTTAAGAAATATTCTGAATGGAAGAGTATTTGCAAAAAAGTATAATATAATTTATACTTATAAATTATATGTATATTTAAAATTACATTCTTGTTATTTTGGGATGAAACATGACCTGGACATGATCTTGACAGGTTTCTTGAGATATCCACCCAAAAGATTATTATGCATATTGTTTGCAGCCTAAGGGAGGATAAAGACTGAGCCATAATTTGATGCGAGACAGGTTTCCAGACTTGATGAAGTGGGGAATGTGGAAATAGAGCAATGGCATGGCACTCCCTCAGTGTGGGCTCATGTGTTTGGTTCAGAGTGGCTGGTACTTGCTGACAGGTGAATGAGTCAGGCTAGAATGAAGAAATCTCACCTCCTAGTGGTGCTCGCATGATAACATTTGGCAGACGAGTATTTTTCATTCTTAAGGGATTAGTTCACCAAAAATGAAAATCATTTACTCGCCCCCATGTCGTTCCAAGCACATTACTTTGTTTAGTTTTTTTCTGTGGAAAACAAATGGAAATCAAATAAAACTTTCAGAGCAGGAGCCTGTATGACTTGTGCAGTATATATATCCATCATGTCATCATTTAAAGGAACACTCCACTATTTTTGAAAATAGGCTCATTTTCCATCTCCCCTAGAGTTGAACAGTTGAGTTTTACCGTTTTCGAATCCATCCAGCCGATCTTTGCTGCCGTACCATGGGTGCAGCAGGCGCAATGATATTACGCAGTGCTTGAAAATAGTCCCCAGCTAGGTCACTTCCAATAAGCCTATTTTCAGGCGCTGCGTGATATCATTGCACCTGCTGCACCCATGGTACGGCAGCAAAGTTCCTTGATTATTACGCTGGAATGAGAGTATAGTTCCTAGCCATATCGGCCTAGAAAATCGCAACTTTTCATTTTCCGTCGGTCTTAGTACACGATGTGACTACAGACGAGTCAAGTTTTAAATAGGAAAAATATAGAAACTCTTTGGTCATTTTTGAGCGAGATGCTAACGGTCTAATCAGATTCAATGATCTATGCTAAGCTACAGCTAAAAGTGCCACCGCCAGACCCGGAGATCGGACGAATGGATTCGAAAACGGTAAAACTCAACGGTTCAACTCTAGGGGAGTTGGAAAATGAGCCTATTTTCAAAAATAGTGGAGTGTTCCTTTAATTTTTATTGTTTTAAGTCATACCAAATGATGTACTAGACTCCACTTCCTTTACTTCCGTGAACATGCATGTGACTTTCTTGTCCTTTATTCTGCAGGTGTCCATAGCTGGCCAGCCAAGGATGTTAGTGGGACAGCCTCACTTTTTCTCTTCCTCGTTCAAGTGACCAGAAATGCTGGGAATTCTTCTCGTGACCACCTAATCATCTCCTTTTTCCTCTTTTCTCTCTTCAAAAGACCTTCACCCACATTCGTTTTGGTGCTTTATTGTGCCATTACACCCATGTGAATGGTATAGCGCGAGCATAATTCTCAATCTTAACCTCAAGTCAGGTTTTCAGTCTGTGGATTGTTGTGGTAAATTTTGAATGCAATGAAATGAACCCTGACAGGCTTCTGTCCTACCATTAAAAGTGAAGGGAACCACAAGTTAAAAGATCCAAAAAAGTTATAAAGAAGGCTTAAAACAAATCCTTTAGAATCAAGCTGTTTAATCCACGTCTTAGATAAAGTCCAAGTCCAAGATAGGGATAAATTCACGTTATATGATAACAGAACTTTTATTTTTGCAAGAACTGTCTCTTTAATGTAATGTTCTACAAAGTTCAATGATAAGTTACAGTGTCCACAATAAAAAAAAAAAGAAAAAAGTATTTGAACATCTTTTGTTTTAATTGTAATTGTGATAGTTTTGATAAATTGTCCATTTTCAAGAAGAGTGTGTGGAAGAGTGTGTGTGTGTGTGTGTGTGTGTGTGTGTGTGTGTTTAACAAATAAAAATTCCTACATTTTGGGGAATTGCATTACATTTTACAACCTGAACTAACCTTGTCTTGTCATGAAAAGTTTTTTTTTCCTCTAAGAAATGATAATAAAATATTATTCCAAACTTAAAGGCATAGTTCACCCAAAAATGACAATTCTGTCATCATTTAGTCACCCTCATATCATTCCAAACCTGTATGAGTTTCTTTCTTCTGCTAAACACAAAAGAAGATATTTTGAAGAACATGGGTATCCAAACGGAAATGGAAAAATATATATATATTATGGAAGTCAATGGCTACTGTCAACTGTTTGGAATGACATGAGGGTGAGTAAGCAATGACAATATTTTCATTTGAAGTAGGTTTTATGATATAAGGACACTTGTATCACCCTGACATTTTTTTTTACATTATGGCCCCCAGTAACTATCAAAATGTATTTTAATTCAGAAATTAAAAACGTCATCACAGAAGAGTTGTATTCAACATTGAGCATCGTGTCATTGACCCACAAGCAAAATACTTGACCCCACTTGTTTGGCCATGTCTCAACGCTTGAGCGATTAGCCCGTTTAAAGTTTAGCCTTGCTTTCTCGGAGGAGACGAGTTCATTTCAATGGAATGATCAACAGAGCATCTTCCTCGCTCTATGGATGCGTGTTGTCTGTGAAAACAGAAAGCAAATACAGAAGTTATTGATTCCACAGAAGGTCAGAGGAAAGCTCAAACCTCTTGTTTGTAAAAGATCGGAATACAGCACTCCTCTCCAAATTCCTTATTAATAATAAGCAAAACGAAAACACAGAAGGTTTTTGTTTGGAAAGCTCCGCTCATAGCCGATGCATAAGCCTTTGGTTAAAAATAAGCATAGTTATGTTTTTAATAGCTGAAAATGAGGAGAACCATTAACAAAGATGAATGATTGGAATTCCAAAGCTCGCTCCATGACGGATACCCTGCTCCCAGCTAAAGTTGAACCTAATAAACATCTCCTTGTGTAAAGGGAGAGTGACTGTACCAACCACATCTAAAGGGGCAGAGAATGTCTTTCATTTTGGCCCCCGGTACAGAGCATGAGGGTGACTGGAGCCCCCAAAGCATGTGGGACTGATCAGAGCCGCATTTTTAAGGCTTGGCCATTCATTCTGTTTACCAATTCAGTTTGGTAAGGCACTGTTTGCTGGGCTTTTGATGACCCTAAATCACAGGAGAATGATGGGAAATATTTGCTTATTCCGCTTTGTTTCTAAAGACTTCATGGCTTGAAAGTCGGCCAAATGCCCTGCTAGCAATAACTGTAATTTTTACCAGCATTCATTCAGAGCAAACCATGTTGTTTAAAGCCAAGCGCACACTGTCTTGTCGCCCTGTGCACATTTAAAAACTTGTGTTTCTTGTTTAGTATTGTCAAAATCATTATGCGCACAACTGATTGTAGACTGTGTGCATCAGTTACAGTCGATCTCTTTCTCAGCTGTGGTTATAGTCCCAAAAATGCGTTCCTGCTCACAGCTAAGCAGGAGTTGATTCTTGAAGCCTTCAACCAAAAATGAAAATTTGCTGAAAATGTACTCACCCTAGGCCATCCTAGGTGTAGTTTGTTTCTTCACCAGAACAGATTTGGAGAAATTTAGCATTACATCACTTACTCAGCAATGGATCCTCTGCAGTGAATGGGTGCCGTCAGAATGAGAGTCCAAAAAATCTAAAGGAACAAATCCATCAAGATGTTTTAACTCTAAACCATCACTTCTGGCCAAAATATGAGTCCATCCATAATATCCATAATAATGCTTCCTCCAGTGGAAAAAGTCCATCCCCTATTGTCCTCTCACATCAAAATCCACTGACATATTTGTTTACAACTGTTTTTATTTATTATTATTATTGCTTATAATCGGTGCTTCATTATGGATAGAGGATTTTAGTGGTTTGAAGCCAAAAAAATCTTGATGAATTTGTTCATGTCAAATGATGTCGACTTGAGTGGTGTGGATTACTTGTGGATTATTGTGAGGTTTTTATCAGCTATTTGGACTCTCATTCTGACGGCACCCATTCACTGCAGAGGATTAAAAAAAATACTTTTAGGATATTACACGTGTGCATTCAATGCAATACATTTTTTCACAAGGAATATCTTGGGCTGTTGCTCGTGTGGGAGACATGTGTTTGAATCTGTTCCTGCCCAGTCCTCCTGTCTTCCCCATAGTTTCCTGTTTACTCTGTATCTTTGTATTAAAATGTTTCAAAAGCCCCTCAAAAAAGAAATGGCCATTTGAACCAGATTGGGTCTGTTGATGAATTAACCATAATCCTTACCTGCCACCAGCAGAAATCACAAAACATTAGGGTTAGGGTTAGGCTTAGGTTAGCCCCATCAGTTACATTAACTGATGGGGCTGTTGGTCTTCTTTCAGGAGCTGCTCCCGCTGGTGTTGATGTTCGAGCTGCCAGTCATAGTGCAGCTGAACCCTGACCCCAGCTCTCCTGCCATCCAGCACATCTCCCAGACATACAACATCTCTGTGGCCTTCAAACAGAGGTCCAGACTCTATGGAACGACAGGAGTGGTGCGGGGCTCACAGAATAATGCTGCGGCCGTGAAGGTGAGACATTCATAAACACGTATATGGGGCAAAATCTCCAGTTGCAGTTTGTTTTTTTCCTATATTATACACATCACTTTCTGAATTTATTATATTTCATTGCATTGTGTTTTTTTGGAGGTATTTTGTTTGTTTGTTGTTGTTGTTTTTAGGTTTTTATAGAATGAATGTTCTCAGTCATTTAAATATTAACTATCATTTAAGTATCAACTTCACTAATAACATCTTTCCCTCCACTCCAGCTCTCAGATCTCATTTGCATTTTTGCATTTGCAATGTTAAGTTTTCTAATGTAAACCTAACATTGTGTTATTGATTTATATATCTGCTGTAATATATAAATCAGGACAAAACAATAAGTCTTGCATGGCTTAATGTAGTGGAAAATAAAAGATTTCTCAGCAAAGAAAGAAATCACAGGACTTATTGTTAAAACAGTGGCACAGTATATGGAGTCTTTGAATATTGCATACATTAGGAGGGTTGTGAACATTTTATAATGCTTTAAAGTTAGGATATATGTGCTGTGGTATCTAAGATATGTGACCCTGGACCACAAAACCAGTCATAAGGGTCAATTTTTCGAAATTGAGATTTATACATCATCTGAAAGCTGAATAAATAAGCTTTCCATTGATGTATGGTTTGTTAGGATAGGACCCGAGATACAACTATTTGAAAATCTGGAATCTGAGGGTGCAAAAAAATCTAAATATTGAGAAAATCGCCTTTAAAGTTGTCCAAATGAAGTTCTTAGCGATGCCTATTACTAATCAAAAATTAAGTTTTAATATATTTACAGTAGGAAATTTACTAAATATCTTCATGGAACTTGATCTTTACTTAATATCCTAATGATTTTGGCATAAAAGAAAAATCAATCATTTTGACCCATACAATGTATTTTTGGCTATTGCTACAAATATACTCCAGCGACTTAAGACTGTACTCCAGGATCACATATGTGAAAGTGTTGATTATTGATACTGTGTAAAGTTTTTGTTGTTGCTTGTTTTGTCAGAAAATAATTCAATCAAAAAAAGAATTTTAATTTGTTTCAGATAGTGCTCTTAAAATGACTAAAACTAGAAACAACAGACTAAAGATAGTTGTCATAGAATAAGACTATTGGGCACAGTGTGTGACGTTGAGATATCTTATTTGGGATACGTTGGGATACGTGTGAGATTACTAGAGTTTTTTCTCAGGACGAAAATCTGAGTAGCAGATTGATTTCTATGTGAAAAATATAAGGGTTTCTGAGGACCTAAAAGTCTCATTTCAAGGTTCCACAAAATAAGACTTAAAAAAGGGTTTAAAAAGGGCATAAAATGTTGCATGCATTGCTAAAAATGTATATCTTCCTCTGTATTTTTGTCTTGTTTTCCAGTACAAATATCTAAACGTCCTTAAATTAAGATACATTTACTTTAGATGCAAAATTAAGATATGAAGTCAAAATTGTATGTGTTTGTTTGTTTTTAAACAAGAACAAATATCTGTAAAGTCCATTTGTGGATATTTGTTTTTTTTTTTATCATAAACTCGCTTCATTTTGATCAATTAAATCAGTTATTCCATTATTTCTCCATTAATTTTTAATTGCATAATTAAAGAGATCAGCACAAAGTTGTATTTTGAAATTTTGAAGTATTGCTAACGCAGCTCATTGTGTGCAGCTCATTTACATTGAGAGAACATATTGACTTTGTCTTAAAAGTATAAAATGTACCTCCATAAAACCTGCAGAAACCTTGGATTTTAAAAGGAATATTCCTATGGGGTAATATGTTTGCAAAGCATTTTCATCTCCTAAAGGGAACATCCTCATTAGCTCCAGAAAAGATCACAGTAAATCCTCCAGCACACACCTACACAACCTTTGATCTCTGTGTGTCTGTGGTGTCTGCCGGCAACACTTTAGACTGAGGGTCTAGTGTGGGAAGAGCCTGCTATTCTTCCCAAGGAGAATCTTCTTCCATCTCTGGTCTTGAGGAAGGGTATGGGGCTTTAGTTGTCCTGTGGGCTGCTGGCTATGCCTGGTATGTGTTAAGAGCTGGAGTGAGGAGTTCCGTGCCAAAACCGCCTACGAACACGGCCAGAAAGGAACCCCAAAAGAGCCCCTTTGCCTTTCCTCTCTTCCCCTAGTTTTATGGCGTGCTGAAAGAAACTCCCCAATCTAGGTCATTCTCAGGTTTGTATATGCCAGATGGAAAAGCAAGAACATAAAGAGGTTCTTGTTTACTAAAATATGCTCCATTAGTGTGAAAAACTATTCTTTCTTTTTTTTTTATTTTTTTTTTTACCTTTTTTACCTTGTAAGGGCAATTTTTATAATTACCCTTTTAAATGTATATGTGTTGTCTTTTATGTCAAATACTTTACTATTACAATTACTTCCATCAATAAGAAAACTATAGACTGTTACCAATCAAATTTGATCAACAAAAGCCATCTTTACACTGCAAACTGGGCACAGAAGCTGCATCTGACATGGCATTATGTATTATAAAATCAAACCTTAACATCTTAATAGCATAAAAACAAAACTATGGAAGCTTGTTTCCGCCACTGGATACAATTTTTTTTTTTTTAAAGGTCATTGTAACCTTTTATCTCAAAAGTCACTTTCTTTCTCGCAATTATGAGCTGACATCTCACAAATTCACTTGTCATCTCATAATTGTGAGTTTATATCTTTGCAATTTTAAGTTACAAACTTGCAATTGTGAGTTAACATCTTTTAAAATTTACAATAAATGATAACATCTTACAATATGACTTTTTTTTTCTCAGAATGGCAACGTTGCATCTGACAATTTCAACTTATAAACTCACATTTGCGCATTTATATCTCGCAATTCTGAGAAAAATAAATAAAATGTAAAAAAACGAATGAATAATTGCAACTTTTAATCATCTCGCAGTTCTCGCAATTGCGAGTTATAAAGTCAGAATTGCAGGATATAAACTCGCAATTGCAAGAAATAAAGTCAGAATTGCAAGTTATAAAGTCAAATTCTGATCAAAAAAAAAAAAAAGCTCACAATTCTGATATTTTCTTACAATTGCGAGATTATACCGCACAATTCTGACATTATAACTGAGATGTTTCTGAGATGTAAACTTGCAATTGCAAGAAGAAATTCTGAATTGTGAAAAGTCGGAATTACTATTTTATTTTTTATTCAGTGGTGGAAACAAGCTTCCATAATAGTCTATAAACTTGCAATTGCAATTCTAAAAAAAAAGTCAGAATTGCGTTATGTAAACTCAAAATTGTGACACATAGAGTGTGAGATGTAGACTCACAATTATAAGAAAAATCTGAATTCCGAGATGTAAACTCACAATTCAGAGAAAGTCCAAATTGGGAGATATAAACTTGCAATTGCAAGAATAAAAAATATCGGAATATCTTTTTTAATTGTTTTATCCCATGGCAGAAAGGGGCTTCCATACAAAACACTTACACAAAATGCTGCAGTCAACACTTTTTATTCATTTTCACATTTTAATTGTGACAGTTGTAATAGATTAAGCTTAATTGTGGAGGGCCTTTTTCCCCCTTACCTTGAAATACCTTGATTTGGATTCAGCTTTGTTAATTTCGGTGGCATTTTTGCCCTATGTCCCCGTTAATTTCCAACCCTGGCTTCGTTGCAGAGGGGCACAGCAGTGTTACTGGAGCATCTCGTGGGCAGCCTGGCCAGCGCCATCACAGTCAGCACACAGCTTGACATCGCGCCCCAGCACCACCTCTTCATGATGGGCCGCAATGGCAGCAACATCAAGCACATCATGCAGCGCACAGGAGCGCAGGTCCACTTCCCAGACCCAAACTGCCCGCAGAAGAAATCCACCGTCTACGTGCAGGGAACCATTGACTCTGTGTGTCTGGCTCGCCAGTACCTGATGGTGAGAGATTTTTTTGTTCTTTATTTCTCATCTGACAGCGTTTGTGCTACTGACATGAATGATGCCCCAAATCATGCACCTTGTTGAGGAACAGTGTACGATTTTTTCTAAGCATTCAGACTTGTTGGGCAAAAAATGGGTGAAAAAATTCCACACTTGCAGCGCAGTGACTCATTTTCTTTTTACTGTTCTACTCTTGTTTTCCAGTAATAGGGTCAATGACATAATGCTTATTTTGTTTATCCTGATTTATCAATTTAAAAAAAAAAAAATAGGAATGATATCATAGAGAGGACCCCTGCAGACCCTCATGACTTTGTGTGAAGGTCAATAAATATCTTAAAATATCAGATAATTTGACATTTTTTTATGAGAATTGATAGCAATGCACTGAAATTTTTGCAACCAAAAATATTTGGCCAAAAATTAAAATTTTCGGTTTCTAACAAAACAAATGTACAGGGCCAAAATCATTGATCAAATTAACATACAGCTTGTAAACAATGTAATATATATATATATACAACTTTTTTGTTTTTATTTGAGTGTTGATTATTAAAGTTGATTTTTTGGGGGGGGGTTCTTTTTTTTATGAAATGAAAATTACTGTTAAAAATGTTTTGTTTTGTTTTTTTTTCCAGTAAATAGCCACCTAACTACCTAATCGCAACGTAAAGCTTAGCAACAACCCAGAACACTTTAGAATTTATTACGAATGTTGTCAAGCTGAATTTTGCATGAGGCCAGCATTGCATGAAGCTTTAGTTTCTCTCTACTCTCATCTAATCTCATCTCATCTTCCCTCAAGCCATTACAAATAGCAACTCTGGTTTGTCTCATTATGTGGTGGTCCTTTTCAAATTAATGGTCTCCAACCAACACAGAAGAATATTAAACTGACAAAGGCAGGGGCACCAGAAGAAAAACACGATTCTTTTGAGGAGCGCACAAGTGGAGAGCATTTCCTCGCTCTGAAAGCAAAATAATTAGCCCTCCACCACACTGCGGTCCTCTCTGGAGACAGATATCAGCCCGTCTGTCCCCGCAAGTCCTGATTTAAACACTCAGCTGGAGGCCGAGGGAAGACACAGCACTCAAAAATAATTTATTCACAGTTTTTTGGCTCAATTTAGATCCATTAAGGACATTTTTAGCATTCACAATTATGACTGTCATAGCAGGCTTCCCACCACACAAATAGGCTCTAGAACTTTTCCAGCATTTGTAGCAGTTTCTTCACTGCCTGCTGAGTTAGCTGTGTCGGGAGAGGAAAAAGAAGGTCAAGGCCCAGTAAAATGAAAGCCTTACGCCTGGAGTACCTGCTGCTGTTTTTCTTTTCAACATGAGAAGTAGGTGATGGATCACTGCTGAATAACTGTAGCTTTGCTGCTTTAGGACCGAGGCCAACAGAGTCCTTGAAACACTTAAAAGTTCGACTGTATGAATGATTTACAACGGTGTAGAAAAACTTTGTTTATTTCTTTCTCTCGCTTTCTTCCTTGTGCTTTCTGCAGGGCTGCCTGCCACTGGTGCTGATGTTTGATATCAAAGAGGACATCGAGGTGGAACCGCAGTGCATTACTTCCCTAACGGAACAGCTTGATGTGTTCATTAGTGTCAAACCCAAACCCAAGCAACCTAGCAAGGTTTGCACACTCACAGCCACAAACTCAAAGATATGTACATGACCTAAACCCAACCTTACAGTACATATGCAACATTTATCGCATATGGTGGTGGATACTTTTGGATGTCACACTCTGAGCTTTTCTCAGAACTTACTTTCTGTTTTTTGAGCCATTTTTGCAAAGGGATTTTTAGTGGATGCATGAAGTCAGTTCTCCTGAAGTTCAAGGTGAAATTCACGGTAAACTAACGGCAGCTGTGGTTGCCAGACCTTTACAAAAAATATGTAACATTTATAACAATCTTAAATGTGTGTGTGTGTGTTTGAATGAATATATATATAGATAGATAGATAGATAGATAGATAGATAGATAGATAGATAGATAGATAGATAGATAGATAGATAGATAGATAGATAGATAGATAGATGTAACATAAAACATAATGTAACTTACTGATAAGAAAAAACTAAGAAATATAGTTATTTAAAAAAAAAAATCAAATGTGAAGTGTCATGCAGGAGAAACATTGTAATGTCAATTTATGGTTTTCACTGTAAATTAAATGATATCTGTTCTTTTTCTCTTCCAAAAACTGTGAATGTAACAGTATTTTACTGTAAAATTCTATTAAATGTACGGTTAGATCTATTACAGTTAAATAGTTATTCACCAGATAAAGGAAACTTATTATTAACAAATGTACAGGTTTTTATCATAGCATTTTAGTCTTTTATCATTAAAATCACAATCATTTTTACAGTGTACATATATTTTTGAAAATGTTGCTTGTATATATTTCAAATAATTGCTGCTTTTGAACTTTCTATTCATCAAAGAATCTTGTATCACAGTTTCCACAGAACTATGAAGTAGCATATTCAACACTGATGATAATACGAAATGATCAGAATGATTTCTGAAGGATCACGTGACACTGAAGACTAGAGTAATGGAATTACATTACACAATAAATTACATTTTAAAATATATTCATATAGAAAAAATGTTTAAGTTGTTATGTTTCACAATATTACTATTTTTACTATATTTCTGATCATATAAATGCAGCTTTGGTGAGCATAAGAGACTTTCAAAAACATTACAAAATTTTACTGACCCCAGTAGTAGTGTAATATAAGTGCATTCGTACATTTTTAAGTGTGGATTAAGTCTCCAGATTTTTGATGGCACCATGTAAGACACCTTGAATCCTCAGATCAAGCATTAAGGCCTAGTTCTTTCAGAGGCTTAAAATTAAGACGCCTAGTCTTGTAAAAGTAATGTATGGAACGTATAGGATTTGCGGGTGGCTTACTAGCAGGATGTGGAAACTGGGAACGCTTCACGTCCTTGGTCATGGTCAAGAGTGAAATCCTATCCTGTGTTTTAGGCTGAATGGCAGCACTGTAAATTATCAGTCTTAGTATAAACCTCTGTTTTTCCATTTCAGTGATTTGTGTTGATGCCTCTGGCTTCTCTTCGTTCACTCTGCTAATAGTTTGCTACAGTAGTAGCCTTGACTAGTATATACAGCACATATGCTAAGAAGGAAGTACTGTATAAACTACCAATTGAGAGGGAAATACGAGGACATGTAGAATTTAAGTACAGCCACAGAAAATCTCCACTCTCAGATTCATTTTAGTTCAGCAAGTTCACCACTAATAGATCTTTACGACCTCAAACTCGTATTCCATGAATTAAAGGGATAATGAGAAGTTAAATTTTCATTGATCTTTTGAAATAAAAGAATTTGATGTTAACTGAAAACATACAGTAACTTTAAAACATACTGAAATCAGAATTGACTTCCTATTGAAAAAAAAGACCATCTATTGAATCTAAGCAGCAGAAACTCCCAATCAATAAAATAACTTAATGATAAAAGTAAAGTATGGTAAAGTTTCTTGCTGTGTGTAGCACCTTCTACTCTGCAGATCCTTTAACGTCCACAATAAGTGGTCAAAATAATAATAATAAAAAAAAGGAAACACCAAGTACATTATATTCATAATGGTGCCATTCTGCAATACAAAGGCAAAAAAAATACTGATTATGCCAACACTAGAAGAGTGGAATCACTTTGAAACTGATTCCAACAACATTGTCCATCTGCGCTGTTAACGATTTTTACAACTTTATCATTATTGTTATCGCTAAAGTTATAGTCTTTGGTGTGAACTAATTATTCTGTTGTTGTTGAAGCAACTTCTGCTGTTGTTATTTTTGAATGACACCGAACAAACACAGTACTAATAAAATATAGCACCTACTAGTGGACAGGAGCTGATTTCTAAACTGTAACTCTCTTTTGTCTGGGCTGTCAGTCAGTGATAGTGAAGAGTGTGGAGAGGAATGCTCTGAACATGTATGAAGCCAGGCGTTATCTGTTGGGTTTGGAGAGCAGTGGCGTATCAGTCCCTACCAGCAGCATCACCAGCAGTAACAGCAGCAGTCCTCTGTCTGGCCCTGCTCCACCTCCGCCTCTCAGCTGCCCTGTTGGCCTCGACATCCTGGCCTCTGCCGGCCTCGGCCTCACCAGCCTGGGTAAGGAAAGAGTACATTTATTTTCCTGTGGCTATAAAAGTACATCTAGTCTTCTAATCAACTTGAGTTTAATTAAATAAATAAATCTGATTCCGTTTCTTAAATAATGTTTTTTTTTTTTGTGAACTGAAACTGGAGAACACTTCACAGTATTCAAAAGTCTAAAATGCAGGGGTGTGGGAACAATACAAAAAGTGAGGGGGACATTATTGTCAGCTGGACTTGTGAATATTAATGAGGTTATGCAACATACTCCCAAATTGTTTAGCTGAAAGGCATGTAAGTGGGTGCAAAGCATAACATGATTACCACTTCCACTTACTATGCTATTGCTTGTTCTGCCAACTAAACCAGTTGGCTTAGACTTCTGCATGGTCCTGAAGTTGTAGTTTTACATGAGTTTTGCATTTTGTTTCTTTGAGCCAAAGATGAGTAAAAAGAGTAAAAGTGAAGATTTTTCCCCCAAAAAAGTAGGGGGACTAAATCAATTATTATTTCTGTCTCCCTGCTAAAATGTGCCTAAAATTAAAAGAATTTAGTCAGAAGTCCAAATCACTAAAATTAGGTTAAAATCTGTTTGCAAAATTTGCAACATACTCCCAAATTGTTTAGCTGAAAGGCATGTAAGTGGGTGCAAAGCATAACATGATTACCACTTCCACTTACTATGCTATTGCTTGTTCTGCCGACTAAACCAGTTGGCTTAGACTTCTGCATGGTCCTGAAGTTGTAGTTTTACATGAGTTTTGCATTTTGTTTCTTTGAGCCAAAGATGAGTAAAAAGAGTAAAAGTGAAGATTTTCCCCCCAAAAAAGTAGGGGGACTAAATCAATTATTATTTCTGTCTCCCTGCTAAAATGTGCCTAAAATTAAAAGAATTTAGTCAGAAGTCCAAATCACTAAAATTAGGTTAAAATCTGTTTGCAAAATTAACACTACGTTAGCTGAACAGCTGAATGAGATGTACTTCTTGCACAGTAAGTGCTTTCAAAAATGAAATTTTGCTAAAAATTTACTCACCCTCAGGCCGTCCGAGATGTAAATGGGTTTGTTTCTTCATCTGAACAGATTTGGAGAAATGTAGCATTGCATCACTTGCTCACCAATGGATCTTCTGCAGTGAATGGGTGCCGTCAGAACGAGAGTCCAAACAGCTGATAAAAACACCACAATAATCCACAAGTAATCTTGTGAAGTGAAAAGCTGCATGTTTGTAATAAACAAATCAACTGTTTGGACTCTAATTCTGACGGCACCCATTCACTGCTGTTAGATCCATTGCTAAGCAAGTGATGTAATGCTGAATTTTTCAAAAACTGTTCTGATTAAGAAAAAAACTCCCATTCATCTTAGACAGCCTAAGAGTAAGTAGTTTTGCTGCAGATTTTCATTTCTGAACTATTTCTTTATGTGTTCAGGATATGTCTTATGTTGAAATTGTGTTTATGGTTTACTTAATGTTAGAATTTTATTATACAATAGTAAAAGGTCTTTCAAACTAAACCATTTTTTTTCTTAGGTTTCTCATCGCCCTTGATGATCCACCCAGCCACCCAGGCCACTCTAACCAGCATCTTGCTGTCAGGGGTGCCGGGCTACACCCAGAACACTCCGTCCCCTCCGCCTGGTCTTGCCCCCATAGAAGCCCAAGTCAACGGAGTATCAGACTGCAGTAACGCTGTGTGCTCCCTTAGTAGCAAAGTGAGCAAGTATTCTTTCACCATCATGAGATGATATACAGTTATGTTAAAAATGTCATATAATTATGCTAATGTTGTGTATATATCTCATGGTTAGTCTTCTTTGACTTCCTCTTGACCAGAATATTGTGTGCATGTGTGTTGTGTAGCAGCCCAGGACCATGTACAGCAGAATGTCTGCAGCATCTCTGGCAGATAAAGTTCTGACCGCAGCTCATGGCGACTCTGTACAGGAAGCCAGTCCCCACTGCCCTTCTGAACCGCTGTCCAGCAAATCCAGCCAAGACCAAGGTCTGCATTATCCACAGCTCCTCATTATATCCTCACTACAAGATGCATTACTCTGCACTGCAAAAATCAATTTCTTGACAAGTAATTTTCTTTTTTCTTAGTAAAAAAAAAAGCTTAATATAAGATAAAACTTTTCCAATGGGATCAGAAAAATAAACTAATTGTAAGATATTAATATTAATAATTTTAAATTGTGATACATATACACACTACCAAGATTTTGTATACATATGCACACTACCAATTTTTTTTTATTAATAATTTATTTAGCAAGCACACATCAAATGGATAAAAGTGACAGTAAAGACATTTATAATGTTAAAAAAAGATTTATATTTCAAATAAATTAGAATAAATATTCTTTTGAGCTTTCTATTTATCAAATCAGTTTTAAAAATCTTATGTAAATCCTAATATTTCACAATATTATTGTTTTTTTTACTGTATTTTTGATCAAATAAACGCATTTTATTTATGAATTTTTCTGCAATTCTTTTTTTTTTGCAAAAAAAATAACCTTTACAGTCATTCAAGTGTGATGGCATATTCTGCAAGACTGATCCCTGACATATGTCAGAATTGAGTAATTTTATCTGGTAAATGCCAGCAAGCTTAATTTGTACTGCGATGTCTGCCGTGTGAATCAACATTTCATGCATACCACTTTCCAGGGCTACATTAATTGAAAGATATATTATACTCTCCTTTATTGCAGCCTAATGCAACCAGTGACATTCACCGCTGAATTATGTCAACCGTTTGATTAGTACTTGAAACAACTCCTCGACCTTCTCTAGATTGAAAGCGAGAATTTATTGACTTTGGTCAGTCTAATTATGGATAAATATAAACTCAGTTCCAAATTATTATACCATTCCTTCCTGCTCTCTGAACGGGGCATCTGTGGAAATGCAAGGCCAAGGTTTTCCATGCTCCAGCATTGTTAAAGCTGTTTGAGTTGGCCTAACATCCTTTTAGTCAGTCTGGTTTTGCTTTCAGATGCTTTCAGCGAAGTCAATTCAATCTCGTGTTAGATTCTCTGATGCTGAGTGCTGCAGGAATACAATCTCAAACTACTCAACTAAAGCGTTCAATATGGGGGCTTGAGGAAAGAATAACACTGTTTCGTTTATGTGTACGTGTGTGTGTTTCAGGATCGGATACGTTCGTGGAGGTGGGCATGCCTCGAAGCCCCTCTCACTCGGGAAACAGCAATGAACTGAAGCAGATGTTGGCATCTTGTAAGACGACGTCAGGAAAGAGGCAAGCCCTGGAGCTGCTTCAGGGCACCAAGAACTCCCTCCTACAGTATGAACACACACACAATCCCTCAACAGTCAATCACTAGTCGATGTTAGAGTTAGCCACTAATGCAGCATGTGATTAAACCTTGTTGTTCTATTTATCTACTCTTTTACCCATCTAGTTCAGACTGTCTGTTGTCAGACTCTGACTCCAGTGCCTCAGAGAGTCCGGTGGCTGATAAACGCGCTCCAGGCAGTGAAAGAGCAGCCGAACGGGCCGCTCAGCAGAATTCAGACAGAATCTTCCTGCCGCACCAATCCTCCTTCTCCAGCATGCAGGTAGTGAACTCTTAAAGTTACTTATAAACTCAGTCATAGTGCTTCCCTTAGTTCCAAAGACAATTATCGAATGAATAGAGCAGCCATCAATATCTCAATTAGCTTTCAGCGTTTCAGTAACATCCCTTATTGAAATAATATACTACCTGTCAAAAGTTTGGAATAATTAAAATTCTTAATGTTTTTCAAATGAAGTCTCTTATGCTCACCAAGGCTGCATTTATTTGATCAAAAACAATAATAGTGTGAAATAGTATTACAATTTAAAAGAACTGGTTTCTATGTTTTTAACTTTTTAAATGTAATTTATTCCTGTGATGCAAAGCTTAATTTTCAGCATCATTACTCAAGTCTTCAGTGTCACATGATCCTTCAGAAGTCATTCTAAAATGCTGATTTGCTGCTTAGTTATTATTAATAATTACTCACGATCAATTATTTATAATGGTTCTTATTATTATCAATTCTGAAAACAGTTTTTGCTGCTTAATATTTTTTGTGGGAAACCATGACACTTTTTTTCAGGATTCTGCGATGAATAAAAAGTTTTAAGGTACAGCATTTAATTGACCTTTTGTAACATTATAAATATATTTACTGTACTTTTGATCAATTTAATGCATCCTTGTGAATTTTTTTTTCTTTCTTACTTATCCCAAACTTTTGAATGGTAGTGTTTCATGGTTTCCAGGAATAAATTATATTTCAAACATGACAACTCTCTGAACATTTTAGCATGGTGATGGATATGACAATGTTAATGTATTTGGTCTTGGCGGAACAGATCTGCTACGCTGCTGCTGAATTGCTGCTGCTGTTGGTTATTGCTGTAGTTGTAGATTATTGCTGCTGCTGCAAGCAAGTACAGGAACTTGCTACTGCCAATACATATGGCGATACGGTGCCGGGAGTATTTAAGACATACTGCTGCTGCACAAATAGCATATAAAATAACCCCGTAGCAGATCTATACAGGTGGAGCTGGGGAAGGTGGAGGGTTTCAGAGATCTCAATGCCATGTTTCTGAAACAACAGAAGGTCGTCACTATTCTGTTCGTAACATTCTGTTAAATGGTTTTGACAGAATGAGGCAATGTTTACCATTTGCCTTTCTCACTCTATAAACCAAGCTGACAGGAGAAATGAGGGACATAATTCTTAAATCCCTCCAAACAGCCTAAACATTCTTTGCTTTATCTCTGTTCACCTCTACAGGCGTTCGATTACGAGCAAAAGAAGTTATTGGCAACCAAAGGTATGTGCTTGACAAATCAAATCACAGTTAAAGCTATATACAGAGCCTTAAAGAGTGTCTCCCACCCATCTATATTGTCAAAAACAATTCTGCTGGTAGGCTGTTGGGGGAATTGGAAACCGGTTGTGTTTAGTCTAGTGTGCCAGCAATGAACAAAGCAGGACTACAGTGTCTTCATAGGCTGAATGTCTGGCAGTGAGTAGGGTGTCATTAAAGTCCTGTTTCACGTTACCGGTAAATATACTCTGCCTCATAAAGCTTCTCCACACCTCACATCCTGTGTCCAGCGTTCATAATGTAAACTAAGGACCTGAGAATGAGGAATTTACCCATTGTTAAAACACTCTTTTTGCCCGCATACTGTAAATAGTTCTTTGTTAATGATTTATGTTGGAACTGTATGGAAATGTGGCACACTGTTTTATTGTAAAACTTCTGGGTTTTGACCGATTTAGCACAGTGCAGGGGAATTTGGCATCAAATTCTTGATCAACTAATTATAATCCCTGATTCCTACACCTCACAAAAACCACCAATAACATTCATGTTATTGAATACCAGGCGGGTCATGTTTCACCATAAATTGACAGCAAAAAAAGTTTTTGTGAGTGTATTAATTCAATTAAGCTCTTTTAGGACTATTTACATATTTTGCGCTGTGATATTATTTTCATGACATTTACTTCACAATTCCTCCTCCAACAACAACAACACAATTATGCTCATTACTGTAATGGGAAAAAATAATGATATATTATTAAAATATATAATTATTATTTATATATATATAAATAATTATTTAAAAAATAACAGATAAATATATTTTAAAAATCAAATTAATGTAATAAATATTTATTCAGAATTTTGGTAAAAATAATATACAATGACAATATATTTTATTAACAAGATACATATAAAAAGTGAAATTATATTGCATGATAAATATAATAATTAATTATATGTGACCCTGGACCACAAAACCAGTCTTAAATGTCAATTTTTCAAAATTGTGATTTATACATCATCTGAAAGCTGAATAAATAAGCTTTCCATTGATGTATGGTTTGTTAGGATAGGACTATATTATAATATATAATATTATAATATATAATATTTGGCTGAGATGCAACTATTTGAAAATCTGGAATCTGAAGGTGCAAAAAAATCTAAATATTGAGAAAATCGCCTTTAAATTTGTCCAAATTAAGTTCTTAGCAATGCATATTACTAATCAAAAATTAAGTTTTGATATATTTACGGTAGGAAATTGACAAAATATCTTCATGGAACATGATCTTTACTTAATATGCTAATGATTTTTGGTATGAAAGAAAAATCAATAATTTTGACCCATACAATGTATTTTTGGCTATTGCTACAAATATACCCCAGCGACTTAAGACTGCTTTTATGCTCCAGGGTCACATATACTTATTTTGCATATTACATATATTATTATTACTATTATTATTTATAATATTATTGTTATATATTATTATTATATAATTGTAATATATAAATATAAAATAAATATGTAATAAAATATAATGTAAAATAATTTTTGAAATGTAATTAATCTTTTTATTTTTTTCCTATTTAGGGGTGACATATGACAATTCTTAAAGAAGTGACCTCTATTTGACTCTTTTTTTTATTTTTTTTAAATACATCTGTGTTTCTCTGTTCAGCCATGTTAAAGAAGCCAGTGGTGACAGAGGTCCGTACCCCTACTAACACGTGGAGCGGTCTGGGCTTCTCAAAGTCTATGCCTGCAGAAACTATTAAGGAGTTGCGCAGGGCAAACCACGTATCTTATAAACCCACCATGTCAACTACATATGAGGTAAACTCAAGCGCTCGAGCAGATAGGCTAAGCACATGTCTTCTATGAATTGCCGTATGCTGATTATAGTTAATTCGGTGCATTCAGTGTGTACAATGTGTTGCAGTGTTCTCACTGAAGATGATTAGCTCTGGCAATGCCTATATGCTTGTTATTATTATTTTTTTATTAATGCATCACTGCATGATTTTAGTGGAATAAACTTAATATGATATGTGTTTTGATATGTGATAAGGGGTCGCCTCTAGCCTTGTCCCGCTCCAACAGTAGAGAGGGGGTGGCCAGTGGCAGTGACTCGGATAACTGGAGGGAAAGGAATGGGAGCGGGCTCCCAGCACACAGCGACTTTCCCTCTCCCATCAGCCCAAAAAGAAAGCAGAACAAAACAGGTGTGCTCTTCAGTCAGCATGACTGAGCTGTGATATATTATATTGACTCTGAAATATGAGTACTGACAAATCTACTAACAAGCATTTACTATATGGTAGACTAAAACTTTATCTAATTTCTATTGAATCTTGCATGTCATTTGTAATGATGAAGTTGCAATTTAGTACATTTAAAATATATTTACTTTAAATGTAATATTAAACAACACTACAGTTAAAATAAAATTAAAATGCAGTTGAAATCAAGTATTTTACTTGTGCTTTTCATGTCAAAATGAGTGTGCTGTAAAGTACCACAAAAAATACTAAAACAATTATTTAAAATGCACTTAAAAAGTAAAACTTTTCATTTGACATTATTACAAAGTGCACTTTTTAAATGTTTAAGTGTGTTCTACAGTACTCTAGTACTTAAGCGGCCTTTTATTTAATTAATATTATAATATCTGCAAGTGCAGTTTTTAAAAATATTAAGTACACTACTTTTATTACACTATTATCTAAAACTCATAAGTACACTTCTTTTTCACAAAAAAGATGAATGAGTGCAGTTTGGCCACACCAAAGTATCTGTGAAGCCTTAAAAATGCTGTTTAGGAAGGCAGCTCACTGGTTTAAGTGTAAAGTTTGATAACCTGGTAACCATGTTTTGTATGTTTTTTTTGTATTAGAGCACTACCTAAGCAGCAGTAACTACATGGACTGCATCTCGTCGGTGACGGGAACTAATGGCTGTAATCTCAACACATCTTTCAAAGGATCAGATCTGCCTGAGCTCTTCAGTAAACTTGGCCTCGGGAAATATACCGACGTCTTCCAACAGCAGGAGGTACAAACAGAGCTGCCGATATCTTCTCTATTAGTGTTGCTGTTTGAAATGAGAACATGTAAATGATTTTAGATGATTTCTGTCACTGGGAGGTTGTTTTTATGTCTTTGGTCTTTCAGCACTTAACCTATTTTAGCTGCACATGTTTTAGTGCGCAGAACTCAGTAGAAAACATGTTGAAAATGCACTTTGGCATAATAGGCTTTTATGAAGCAACATGAAATACTGGAGTGAACAGCTAACTCATTTTTTGAATAAACACATTTGACTTGATGCAAGTTCCACAGATTAATGAGTCTGAAAAACTTGGATGTACATTTTCCATTTCACATATATACTATTGGACAGTCATGTCTGTAACAATTCTTAATGATTAACTTTATTTTCTGTGTGGAGCACTGTCAGTGTGACAGCTCTATCTCGCTGGCATGTATGCTGCCAAACTGGCCTAAGGTTACAATGACGCAACTTCCAGCACAGAACTGAAACCCTCAGAATAGCCAAAAACTAAGATCTGCAATTCACACATTATGCCAAGTCCTGTATTGCAAGATGCCAGAGATAACATTGTGGAGTCTAAAATTTGGTTCTGGCTTTTATCTTGTAAACATATCATCGGAAAGTTAGAGAGAGAGCCGTGGTGCAGTGGTCAGTGCACATGCACTTAGACGCAGGTTTGATTCTGGACTGTCATGCGTTATCTCATTGTTCCTCTTTCTCCCCACAAAAATTTAAGTCCAAACTAAAAATACAGTTTGTGTCTGTTTCTCAGATTGACCTTCAGACATTCCTCACACTGACCGATCAGGACCTGAAAGAGCTCGGCATTACTACATTCGGAGCCCGCAGGAAAATGCTGCTGGCCATCTCAGGTCAGTTCCCTTCCAAACTACTAGGGTTAACACAATAGTATTATATAGGTGCCATCAATCGATCAAATTGATGTATTAATGACATTTCTGTCAGGACCACTATCGTCAAAGATGATTGACAATTAGTATACAGTTTGGATTGGCGTTATGGTTCTCTTCTGGGCAAGAACTCCCTGCGTATCCATGCTGCCTAGCATGGATGAGAGCAGGGAGAGCAGCGATAACCCCCCCAGGGTAAACCGAACAGAACCAACATAAATGTAATGCAGATATCATTAAAGTTCAATAATGTTATGTACACATTTTAGAATTAGTCTGATTCAAAGGAGTATCAGAAGGCTGAATCCTGACTGACAGAGGAGGAGTTGGGGATGGAGGAGGGTAATTAGCTATTGAGCAATGCGAAAACTGATGATAATACTGAGGGACCTTGTAAATGAATGCTTAGAAAGTTGTCGTATTCCCATAGGTAGATGGGGATCAGCTGAGAGTCAGCTGATACGAGCTTGACTAACGTGACCTGCCAGAACTAACGCTACGCTAGATTTTTCTGTAGTAAATCCTGATTAGTCACACCTAACATTACAATTTGTAATCATAATTATAGTTTGCCACTGAATCGCCAAATGAATGTTAAAACAATATAAAGACTGTATATTTAATATATTTTTCTAGTGTGAAATATGAATAAAGTCAAGTATCACCGATACCAAAACTCAAAACTGATGCGCCCACATATATTTTAATCAATTTCTGGGGATAAAAAGAGTAAATATAGCCATAAAACATTACAGTAAAATGTGAATGTAAAAATCATTTAAAAATATATATTATAATGTTTAATTTGCATGAACTTAAAACAAAGTTTACATTTACCCATTATAATAAATGTCATATTAAGCTGTGCCATTAATATAGTGTGTTTTATATAATAATATAGTGATGTTTCTGTCTTGATATCATGTCTTTCATTTTTTGTGCATTCATTTTCTTAATAAATAAGAAAATTAATAGTTAACGCAATTTGTAAATTTTTTTCAATTACACTTATTTCTGCAATTATTCCAGCGTGTCTTAATCACTGAGACAAGCATGTTACTGACAGGATCAAAAACAGGCAGCCAGATTTATTATTATTATTATTACTTATTTAAGTTAACAAATAACATTCAAACTGGCATGTCATTTTCAAGTTTTTCTTAATTATTTTGCAAGTTGCTTTTTAAGTTTTTTAAGTTGTTTATTTTTTTCATATAAAGAGTAGGCAATTAAAGAAGTTCATTAAAATGTATTTTTTATTGATATGGTTGTTTGGTTAATATTAATGATAATAATAGACAGGCGGCAGGTCTGTTAGGTTGATCCTAATGCACAGATCTGATATTGTTGTTGTACATTCACTGAAGATGTACTGTGCAATAATACCAAGAAGTTCATTTGACTGTTCATGCGCAGAACTGTGTTACTGTAAGCACTTTCCACAGAAAACCCACACAAATGTGATTATTGGAAAACAGCCACCCGTCAGTCAGACACCCCTCAGGTACCAAACTGAGTCACTATTTACTGCAGAAAGACTGGTCTTGTTACATTTCTTTAAGAAAGATTAATATCAACTTGATACCAACCAACAGAACAATAAACGTGATAGCAGATGGACACAACATGCCATGCAAGATTTTCCTTTTTAATAGCTTTGAGTAATTTGGACAGCTGCAGGGTTTTGGGATTATGATTATGATTTATTGAGGTGTTCGAGATGAAATTGGATTTGGCTTTTCACTTACATAACCAGCCAGGGTTGACTGACTGTCCACATGACAGCAAGTGGAAGTGACAACTTTGCCATTAGACGTCTCAAACATCTGTGATATATTTCGACCACCCACTGCTCGATAACCATAATGACTTCCTGCAGTCTGGCAAGGATATTTACTAAAGCAAAAACATTGTTCCGGTTTTATCAGCCCTGTGGTTGGAGAATAAAACACAATGCCTGAGGTTGATGTTGACCTTTCACTGTTAAAAATGAAATTATGGTGCGGATGGGATTCTAAGAGTAGAGGTATGAGGAAGGCAGGGAATGACCGCAGGCCTGTGTTTATGTCTCTGACTGACCTCGGACACAATTTACTGTAATCTGGGCTGATGCAAGTTTGGTCCCAGAGAGAGAAATGTCCTCCTTTTGTTCTCTACAGAAGGAAAAGGGAAGATTTGAATTGTCAATGCCACCTAGACTGAGACTGAGCTGTCAAAAAACTAGTGAGCTGTCAACATAGGCAGCATTTTAAGGCAGTATACCTTATTTAGACCAATTTTTAAGGCACACTGCAGGAGAATGCAACAAGCTGAGTGAAAAAATCCAAATGAGAGGAGAAAAATGTTGACATTTCATCCATTCTTTACTGAAAAGTATTGATTTAAAAAGAAAAATATTTTAAAATGCATTGCTATACCCAATATTTGTATGTATTGTGTATTTTTATGTTGTATCCGCTTCCCAGATAGCACACGTACGTCTGCTAGAGGTCTGTTAAAGATCGCTTCATCAGGAAAGCATCTGCTGTGTACAAACATCTGATAGACGTCTTTAAGATGTCAGTTTTACATACATTCTAAATCATAAACATCTGAAAGACATCTTCTAAACGTCTGTTTGACATCTGATAGGAAATGTCCTAAAGACGTATTGCAGATGAGCAAACACAAAAAAATACGTCTTGCAGATGTAAATGCAGACATCAAATACGAATTTCGAATATTCGTCAAATTTAAAATAAAAATCCACATTCGAATGCAAAAACGTTGCATTCGAATTTTAGGTGTGTGTTAAGGAGGCAGCCTTATCAGTGGCGCACGAGATGTGATGATGATGTAAGTGTCGTTGCATTATAATGTTTTTGTTAGCATATCCAGTTGAAGCCACTAGATGCGGCGCTGCTGCGTTGCTCATTAAAATATTGAGGAAAAAGAGAACAACAATGCGGAGAAGAGCTTGTTTACATCAAAACTGAAACCAAGCCGTTCACACAGAACGCATATTTCGCGCATTGTCTAGAGGGACATCTATCAGCGTTGCACTCGCATCTCGCACAAAAGAGCCGCATGTTTAGAAAGCCATGTAAAATTAATGCAATTTCAACTTTGAAAAAAAACATCTCGAGACTTTATGGCGGGTTTTTTTCCCCCATCCCACTGCAACTCATGATTTTAAACGAAAAATGTACTCTGTGTGATTGGTTTTCCGCCCTTTGTATTAAACTATGCATACATACATGATGCTGTTTTGTTTATAGTTGTTTAAGCAACTTAATTATAATTGGTTTATAAACATTATTTTAAACATCATGCACTTTTTTCACAGATAGTCATGTTATCTTATGCTTTGAATAAACGTGCATTAGTAATATTTTGCTTGATGCGCCCTCTTGTGGCCTCAGGAGAAAAGCCAAAAGCTTTTCTTCACCCTAACTGAAATTATGCATTTTAAATTTGAATATAATTCAGATCATGTTTAAGTACAAAATTCGAATTTAGTTTTTCAGCAATTTTGACAGCCCTTCGTCAAATAGACATCTTCGTGATGAATTTTTGTCCAACTTTTATTATTCGAACACATTTTTTTCATCATGATGAGATCCTCAAATTAACACAACTTTTATTAATTTTTGAAGCCTAAATACAATACCAGAGGTAAAAAGTTAAATGTAGGCTATAAATGATCTACACCACCGTCACATGACTTCAGCGTAACCACCATTAAGCTTAAAACAACTCTTTTAGTCTTTATTTAAAAACATTTTCTACTTTTACCCCAGTGAGGCTGTAAAAGTAGACTAGTGAGAAGATGAGTTTGGCATGAGACATTTATGTCCCTGACAACCTCTTTAGTCCCATTTAGCCACTTGTTAGCAACCGCCTTTTTCAAGAAAAAGTAACAAAAAAAAGGTACAAAAATCACAAGGGGGACTGATGCATTTTATGTCGTAGAACATGGAAGATATCTTGAGCTTCAAAATATCCACTGATTTCAGGGTGATGGAACTGCTAACTCGATGGAAGTTTTCAGGTTTCCAAATCAATACCAGTAGTTTGGTATAATCTTAGATAAGGAGCAGTTGATTCATACATGCATTTGTTTCGTATTTTAAAAATTCGCAATATGAAAGAAGAGATCTTTCACTACTTCCATTTTACTGTGATGTTAACATGAATGTATGCGATATTTAAGCCCTCTTTTTGTTTTGACAGAGCTGAACAAGAACCGAACGAAGCTCTTTGAGCCGCCCAACATCCGCTCATCATTCCTAGAAGGGGGCGCCAGCGGTCGACTGCCACGCCAGTTCCACACAGACATTGTCAGTGTGAGTGGGCGCTGGTGAGCCCATGCCAATGCATCAACGGACAGCCTGAAACTGCACAAATTCCCATTCCCAACTCCAACCTGATATACAGTACTGGACCAAAACCCGGACCTTCTGAATCTGTGCCAAATAAACAAAGTCCATGGATCAGAGGTTAAGGGTCAAAGAACTGTTGAATATTATATGCAATATGGTACTCGTGTTACAATGAAGGAAATGTAGTGAAGGATCATTGGAGCTCCTGCACTGTGCTTGTATATGGAGCAGGCAGATTTTATTTATATGCTCATCTTAGGCTTCGACATACTAATTCTTTGCACTTTAAAAAATGCTAAATATTTTGTCCATGGGCAGATTTGCCTGACTAGACGTGCATGGATTTTATCTAAAGCACTTAAATGGATATCAAGCCAAAGTGTTCTGCACAAAATATCCATAAGGGAAGCTTATCTCATCCCACAGTGAAATCACCAGCCTGTTGTTATTACTTATGGATCTTAGTCAGAGTAGACGGCATATTACACAAAAAGACCAGCATAAACCAGCAAAGGACCAGCATAAACCAGCAAAGGACCAGCTTAAACCAGCATCCCAGCGTCAAAACATACCTAACCAGCATATGCTGGTTTTTTCAACAGGGTAGCGTCGGCCTGTCAGTAGTAGCTTTCTCAATAGTGCCTCAGTTTAGCCACTGACAGAAGTGCAAATTACACCAGCTCTGTTTCAACCACCTTCCTGAATGCCACAGACCACAAACCTTCACAGACCTCACTCAAAAAAGGACCAGCATAAACCAGCAAAGGACCAGCATAAACCAGCAAAGGACCAGCTTAAACCAGCATCCCAGCGTCAAAACATACCTAACCAGCATATGCTGGTTTTTTCAACAGGGTAGCGTCGGCCTGTCAGTAGTAGCTTTCTCAATAGTGCCTCAGTTTAGCCACTGACAGAAGTGCAAATTACACCAGCTCTGTTTCAACCACCTTCCTGAATGCCACAGACCACAAACCTTCACAGACCTCACTCCCCAAACCGAGCTTTTTTGTAAAGCCTTGGAATTCTTCTCAGACCCGTTCATGGCTTTTCTCCTGCACGCGACCAAAGTAATGTGTTAATTGGCCAGTGCCTTGGGAATGACTTTTAAAATCTGTGAGCGTGGCGCAGATTTTGTAATATACTCCATTGTAATGTTCTTTGGTGATGAATTTGTATAACTGCCATAAATGTGGTATCGCTGAATGTTCTTTACAAGTTGAAGGTGTTATGAAAGAATAAAGCGTATGCAAACCTTTTCCATCTTATTCCACTACTGTTTGTACAATGACATTTAAAGGTTATAGTTCACCCAAAAATTAAAAATCAGTCATCATTTACTCACCATTAAATTGTTCCAAACCTGTGTGAGTTTCTTTCGTCTGTTGTGCACAAAAGAAGATATTTCGAAGAATGTTCAAAAAGTTGCTGGTAGCCACTGACTTCCATAGTAATGGAAAAAATACTATGGAGGTCAATGGCTACCGTCAGCTGTTTATAGGTACCAACATCTTTTGTGCTCAACAGAAGAAAGAAACTCATACAGGTTTAGAAAGACATGAGGGTAAATGATGAACGAATTTTCATTTTTGGGCATGACATTTAGTTGCTTTGTGTATTTAAAATCGCATGCTTGTTACATAATGATCCATTTCCCTCATTAGTGACATCAACTTCTGTAAATGTCTGACTAAACTAGATGTAATGGCAGTAGAGGAGAAAGACTAGTGTAAAATGTGCTTTGAGATGAACCGCACCCAATCAGAGCTTATGAGGCTCTGACTGATTACAGTAGGGATCTCAGTGAAATCCTGTGCTTAAGCACACACACACACACATACATGGACTTTTGGGAAATGGATGTTCTTTTTATCTGTTTTTATGTCATAAGCAGATATGAATCTGTAAGGAACAGAATAAAGAAGTATAGTCTAAAAAAACTGGGTGTAACTATTTTGCTTGATTTAGTTTTTTCTGGATTATCTCTGAACTTACTGCAAGTCAGGCCTGGAGTGGATATGGAACAGGACAGCTTGTGGCTGGAACAAGAAGAAAACAATTTCATTTTCCTCTGGCAAGCTCGCATTCCAGCGTTTGAATCTCGCCACATTGTCTGGATCGTGGATACAATGTGAAGAGAGTGTCCAAGGGTTGTTGGGAGGATGAAATGTGTTTATTTCACCACAACAAAACTAAATAACACCAGAATGAACTCTGCAACATCCAGACATCTTTTCATAAACAGATACAAACATGAATGAAAGGGAGTTATTTATTAATTTAGCTGGACCACATTGTGTCAATGTATATATATTCTTTTGAGAAGCTGAGAAGACCGCCTTCATTTGAAAGGCCATCTTATGCACCACTTTTGAATTTTTACATTTGTTATTTTCAGGTGATTTAATCTATTATTCATGATTATTAATTCACATTATGTTTCTCACATATGCTCATTATAAATAGGAGTAAGAAGAGTTACACCAGTACGATTTTTGGTCTTGGATCAGTTTTTGGGTTTCACATAAAAATTGAGAATAATCGAATTTTTATTCTTGTTGTGTTATTTTTTACAACATAATAAATTCTCTATATTTCTGTAAGTTTTAATGAGTTCTGTGTTTTATGCCTTTTTCAATGTAAATGCATTACTGTAGATTGTTCTCCAACAAGGGGCGCCAAGGCATGAATTTGATCAAATTTGACTTTAAACTACTGGTCCGCAATATTTTGCATTATTAATTATCTGCATCAGCCAATACGTTTTACTTTTTGTTAGTGTCGGAACTTATTCTGATGGCTTTATTTCATTTATATTTTCTTTCTGTCACATGAGATTAGCATGTACCACAACTGAGGTGAGGCCCTTAAGCCCATTATTCTAAATAATAGATTACCTCAGAGCATACGTAATATTTTCATTATATTATAGTCTATATTGAACATATATATGAACATGATATATCTGGATCTCATTCATCATCTTTTCACATGTGTTTTGCCTCTGTTTTGCATTCTGCTCATGCGCCCTATTTACATTCAGAAGCTTTAGTGCATCCCTTAGTTACCAACATAACAATCATTTAAGATTTAAACATCAATAGAGAACCGGACTAAAACATTTCACCTCGTCTGACACTGACCTTCATGCGTTGACTGAAGACAGGTCGTGTGAGGTGATCTGATCTGTTTATGGGATGTACGATCACTGTGAAATATTCCCCGTTATGTAACGGACCCCAAACCGCTGTCTCTCAGACACACGCAAAGCTGGACAAAACAGAAAGGAGAAAATCCTACTGCAGATTATGGAAAATCAACACCAATAAGCTGTATTTTTGTCATTCTTTTTTTTAACCATTAAATCCTTGTCCTGATTAATTTAGCCACAAACATTGCAGACTTTAAATGTCAGTAAAATAAGTTATAATCAACTGTGCTTTACTCCCGGTGGCAATACAAACAAATCATTTAAAGCTTTGTGAAGGTAATTTTCTATTAGGAAAATGTCAAATCTACCATGAAAGGTACAGTATGTCATTCAAGTGGTTTCAGTCATATGGAAGACCGGGCTACAGTAAAGGTTTCCAATGTGACAACTTACCCCACTAAGTGTCATTTTGGTATTATAGGTGTCTGAAATATAATAAGTATACGTTTTTTTTTCTCCAGTTAACATTTATTTTAAGTAATGAACTTTTTTTGTTTTAGTTTTAGCTAACTATACCAGCCCTGTACCAAATGAAAGAAATGTTGACAAAATATATCAATAAATATAAAAGATTCTGTTCTGTTTCTACTCAAATAAGCAAATTAGTGACACTGATCATATGAAATCTGAAGCGCAAAATATTCGAAACAAAATTCTCAAATCCTGCTGGAGAACATGATTAATATGTCAAATCCATGCCAGCTTGAGGGAATCCCAAACTAAGCATTTCTGATTACATGAGCAATGCACTTAAAGAGAAGGCTCTAAAGTACAGCATGTTGGGTTTTTGTTTGGAATTATGAATGACTGGGTCAGCTTGGATACATTACACCCCATGATTAAAATATGAATCACAAACCCATGGCATATGTCAGCATGTTTTGAGAGTGTGGCCTCCATCACTGTAAGTGCTAGCATGCTTCAGCAAAAGCCCTCAGCCCATTTACTGCTGTGTAATTTTACAGCAGGAAAGAGTAGGTCAGAAATGCATGTGTGTCCTCTGTCTGCGGCGGCACAACCCCTCACTGCAGCACAGATTACCATTACAGCTCTGCTACATAATCACTCCCCTTCACCATAGTCAGCGTGAGTATGTGGGTATACGCACACCTCATTTAAACCTCTCTGATCACGAATACATTGCTTTATACATCCAGGCTGTTTTGTTACTGTATCTGGCTCTGCCACTCCATGTGGTTGTTTTTTTCTTCTGCATAATAAAGTCTTGCCATCTGCCATCTTCCCCTCACATTTGGCAGTAGATGAAGATACAGCATAGTGAATACACTACAAGATATTTAGCCTTACCATGTGACCAGAAGAAATACATTTGAATATAGGGCTGATAAGAATGAGTATAGATCTTGTAATGTGATATTAGTTCAAATAATATTCAACATTAGTTCAAACTAATCATGCGCTATGGTCAAAAGTTTTTTCCCAGTTAACCAGAAACATTGTCACAACTTTGGCACCTTCTGGAAGTTATGAACAAATGTTCTTACATTAATGTCAATAGCATGTTCGTTCTGAGTTAGCTGGTCTTTAATAATGTTCTCATAGCACAGAAATGTTATTTATATCATTGTTTATGGAACATTTTATTTTTTATTTAAAATTTTCTTTTTTTTATGTTACTGTTTGTTTCAAGACGTACTGAGAACTATAAAATGAAAATTTCCCTTAAGATTAAAAAAAAAAAAAACTGGGCATTTTGAATGTTCAGAGAACATTCAGAAATAACGTTTTCATAACTTAAAGGGAACATTAACGGAACAATCTTAGACTATATTTTTATTAGCTGGGTTGAGGTCATAATGTGCAAGAAGCTGCATGAAAAAAAAAAGTGCTTTTTACTTGAAAACCTGCCCCGTAATCATAATTTATGTGAAAATAAATACAATTTGTTGGTGTTTTACTGCTACTGCTGTTCATTTCAGCTGGAAACGGCAGTGATCTGCATGAATAGGTACATTTTTGGAGTTTTGTCATAATATAGGTAGAGGCACATTTTTCCAATGAGCCTGTGTTGCAACATCAGCACTTCTAAAACACAAAGAGCTGATAAAATGACTAATGAAAAGTATTGCTGAAAATAAAATGTATCATTTTTTTGCGGTGCAACCTTTAATTTTGAGAATGGACAAACAGAGGCTGAGATATTCATAGAGGGATGCTTAGAGGGGGATGGGTTTGTAGGGCTGCTGGGGGAGGAGGATCCTACCGGCAGATTATTAATGGTTAGCAGGGTGGGGGTACTGAATTATCTGCCCTCTCAGCGGTTGATGACAGCTCTACTGTATCTCCAGCTGCTTTACATCACCACACACTGCTCCTGCTTCAGCTGGCACTAGAAATGCAAGTTAAGATGTGTTTTCTTCTCTGTTTGATCTGAATGAAAAGCATCTATAGGTGTGACTATTCAACCATGTGACTTTGCTTCATCCCGGCATGATATTGCACAGTCTATTGAACTACTTAACCATGTGCATAATTTGTTTCACACTTTATGAGCGCAGTTAGAAATTTTAACACTTAAAAGCATTCCTTAACCTCATGCTTTTAGGATAAAATGCTCATATCTTTAATGTTGCCACTACAAGGTTAACTCCAAGGACAAACTGCAAGATTGATAATACTGTTCCTTTAGGTTAAATAGAAATGAACAGAAAATAAAATAGAGGTGCATAATCCCTGAGCCACAAGAATCGTTGAGTTAGCTTGAATTACTGTTGAATTACTGCCGAACGCTCCCTGTCTTCCATTGGTTAAACAAATAGTCCCATCCCAGATGTATGCCATTGGTTGAGCCAGTGTTTTTCAGGATGCTCAAACAGACAGAAATGTTCTGAAAGCACCTTGTTACACTCTTCAGATGAATCAACCTACAATTTGCTGATAGTTTCCTCTGCATAGTGAATTGAGATTTGATAAAAGTTCAAAACACATGCAATTTTTTAAGATGTATTAGTGGAACATTCTTGCTATGTAGGTCTCAGTTGTTTTTACACATACATGACTTAGCTATACAGTACACTGTAAACTTGAAGGCAAATATTTGAAAAGGCTCACGACGTGGATTTTTTACACATTATTTTAATATGTTACATTTTAATATGTTTCACATATTTAAAATAGATTCTGCCCCTATGCCTGAAATTATTCATTTTTAAGGAGGTGGCTCCTTTAAGAATTGTCAGTAAACGGCTACTGTTATGAGTGGTTAACGTAGCTAAAATGTATCAATGCCCTCTCATTCAATGTGTTTTGAAAACATTATAAAAGTGATGTGTCGCCAAGAATGGTGTCCGATACTCGGAATTTGTGCTCTGAATTTAACCCATCCAAGTGCACACACACACACACACCCAGAGCAGTGGGCAGCCATTTTTGCTGATGTTGCAGTTGGGCTTTCGGTGTCTTGCTTAAGGGCCTCACCTCAGTCGTGGTATTGAAGGTGGAACATTCACTCCACCCACCTACAATCCCTGCCGGTACCAAGACTCAAACCCGCTACCTTTGGCTTACAAATCCGAGTCTAACCATTAGGCCATGACTGCCCCATATTATTCATATAAACAGTCTGCAGTGTAGCTGCTGCTACTGTACACTATCTGGAGTCAAATGCTCCAAACAAACATATAATCATTTAACGCGATCCGGGATGCCATTAAAAATAACTTTCACTGATAATTAAACTGACTTTTTTCTATTGTCCTCTTGCATTATCAGCGCACGTTTTTCCTGTTTAACACTGTAAAGCTGCTTTGACACAATCTGTATTGTATAAAGCGCTACATAAATAAAGGTGACTTGACCTGTCTTGACATGCACCTTCATTTTACTATAATACAACCATAAATGTGATACATTTTTGTTATTCAGAGAGTAGCATATGAGAGAGAGATCCAGCAGTTTATCTTCTCCTTTACTAGATTCAAACTTATTTGGTCGACAAAGTGTACCAGAATACCCACGGGACAATAAGAAAGCAGACGCACTGTAATCTTGTTACATAACAAAACATTTAATTCACTTTTCATTCAGCGTTAATCCGTTCTGTGTTCACCATGTGCCCAGGAGCATAATAAACACTTGTAGATTTCCACTGTGTTCATAAGATAACACTTTAGATAATACTTTCAGTATTAGATTCCAGCTTGAGATTATGTTACATACATGGCTTGGCGCATCAGGGGTGAGTGGATGATGACAGAGTTTTCATTTTTGGGGTGAAATATCCATTTAATGTATAACACAATGTTCTGGGTGAGCAAGCTCTATTGACAGCATCTGTGAAATGTTGTCTGAGTTACTGAGGAAACAATTCCCACATCTCTCAATTTGGAGCAACACATGCCTAATGCAGTAAGGCCTATTCACCCCAAGACCAAATAGTTTTGTTTCATGCAGAGAAGAAAAAGTGAGAAATATGAGGAAAATTTATTAATTGATTGAAATATTTAGTCTCACGTGTCAAGCATTCAAATTGACAGTCCTAAGAAAGGTGTAGAGTAAATTTTGTTAATCAGCACCATCTTTAGTACAAGAGTGAATTTGCTTTCCGTTTGACCTGATAAATACTCATTTTGGTTTTGGTGTAAATTATGTTAAAAACTAAAAGTTCAAAATTATTTTTATCTCAGACTTTTCTCTCTCTGCAAGATAAAAACTCTGATTTTTTTTCTCGCAATTTCAAGTGTACATCTCACAAATTCAGATTTTTTTTTTGTGCAATTGAGAGATATGAACGCGTATATCTGAGAATAAAAGAACTGCAAGTTATAAACTCACAATTCAACTTAAAAATGTGTGCAGGGTGGTGGTTTTCTTGTTGTCAGCATGCTTTGCATACTGTCTGCATACTGACTGGAGAAGGAGAACAGATGTTGAAATTAAGTGTTATTTTATGTGTTTTAGTAAAGGGAAAGACAGCCCTTTTAATGCTGTTATGTTTGACATTTTTTTCTGTTATGCTGACGTTTTTGTGATTACCACTGTGCTGAAGAGTAGTACTCGTGGATAGGTTGTAGATCACTATATGAAAAAAAACTCACTACATAGACTCTAAAATTAATCATTCCGTTAATAGTTAGATATTGCATGTGCATTGAATTTATGTTAAGTAAGTAACGTTTAGCATGGGTTATGTTAGCTGTTAATATGAACTAAAATAGATCAGACTGATTGGTTCTGGATCCAACACTGAGTTATGAAACGTGTTGGAACAAGTTTTTGAGTAATCAACTTAAAAATGTGTTTATGCTACAAATGATTAAGCCGAGTTCTTTTTTCTTTTCACTTTAACTACTTTATAGAACTGTTGTATAAAAGCAATCTTACACTCATAATCATGCTATTGTACTGAATATCAGATGTGAAGTCCATCAGTGCCATCACAATTATACAAAATAACAGCATGTTAATAATGGCTTAGTAGTATTTCACAGTACTTACAACAAGTATAGTGGCGCTGTGATATAAAGTGTGTGACCGAATTAAGATGAATATGGAGTGTAATTACAGTAGAAGGCGTCACTGCTCTTTGCCCTTGACTGTGCGTGTCGCAGGAGAGATCAGCTCTGATGGAGAGGCCGTGACGATGTGCTGACGTGGCTCTCATCAGCAGCACACTGTGGAAACCCGTGGGAGACAGAGAGAGCACGGAGTGAAGATCTGTCCAGCGGCACTGCAGTCACTCTCACTAGCGGAATAGCGTTCATTTAGAGGCTCAATGATGGAGGTTCCACGTGTGGGACACAGTGTCAGCAGCCCCACGAGCCCGTGCGAGGACATGATGAAGAATCTCAGTCTGGACGCCATCCAGCTTTGTGAGAGAGAAGGTAAAGAAGTGTCACTTTTGCTAAATTATCAATTTGTCCTCAGACAGGTGAACTGGAGTGGAGGAGCATTGCCATTGCGTTTGAGATTTGAAGACGGGGAAATATTTAAACGCATGCCAAATTCAAAATGCAAATGCATTTAAGGCGCACGCTTTTAAAGCTCCTGATGCATACTATAGGCTGAGGTTGCTCAGCTATTCTCGCATTTAGCTGCAGCTGGTTTGGTGTCATTGCATTGGCGCTTTCACTTGGAAACATCTTTGTAATGCACGCAGAAGCAATCACGCAACTCACGTGCGGAATAGCAGTTTTGTCTTTTTGAAAAACGTGCATTTACGGCGCGTGCGTGAAAGTGCGTGCTATAGATTTGCGCGTGAGGTTGCTTAGTTGTTTCTTCTTTAAAAAACATTGAATTTGAGCTTTCTAGACAAGGAGGGATTATTATAATTCATGCACCACCATAAGACTCATGTCCTGTGCTTCATAGTAAAACGACGTTTTTATGAACTAAATCACATAATTCCGTATCGATTAAATGCTTTTAAGTCGCATGCATGCACACTTAGGTGCAATCTATTATTTTCCTTTGGGTCACAGAAAGAGGTGCATGCTCTCCGAGCATTAATATTCAATGCGCTTGAATGCTTGTTTCAATATGATGCTCGCGTAACGTTCAGCACCATGGACACGGTCATTGCGCGCGCACCATACTGAAACAATACCGGATTGCAGCTGCATGCATCTGAGGCTATACGACCAGTGAGCAATTCACTCTCTAATGAAAGCAAAATGTTTAGTCGAGCCACACTCTGAATATGCTGATTCATCTGGGTGACACTGTATTGCCCATTGTCTTTTGCGCGTACTATGTATCTACTAAATTCATGAGTAATGGTTATGTACAGGATTTACATGGGTGTATCCCAGTGCGTGCGTTTCTAGGCATACTTAGTCATTGATTTTCCAGAGAAAGCTCTCTTGCCTCGTGCTGCTCTGGAACAGAGGAGCATACTTTTAAAATACAAAGCATTTCATATTAAAGAACAGAAACATACTGCCTACCATGTTTTTCCTTCTGTATCATAATGGCAGAATATTTATCACTTCATAAGTATTTGATTTTTGGCCAAGCCAATTAATTGTCTGATATCCAGACGTTTTGAAATTTTTTGCATACATTAAGTTGATAACTATAACTGACAGATGTGTGTCAGTTTCACAATCTAGTTTTTCGGTTTCAAATGCCGTTTAGTACATTTTGAGTAAACATCAAATGTAAATGAAAAAAAAAATGTTATGTACATATTTGCAATGTTGACACCCTGCTCTAGTAAACTGTATCAACTTTGCCATTGAAAACCCTAAGTCAACCACTAATAATCAGTACTAATATAATTAACAAGAGGTGAGGCAAATCAGAATATGAAGACTTGTTTATCATCAGTATATCAGAGCTAAAGCAAAGAACATGCTTTGCGTGAGCTGAACGAAATTTCCTTAGAGCTCTGACTTGTATTCTATACCAGTACTGTGCAGAGGAACTCGAAGTCCCTTCAGCCATGCTGTCACAAGACAGAGAGAGAGAGAGAAAAAAGAGAGAGAACATTCTTATTGACACGGTCCGTGCAGTGTAGCATTGACGCTGTCACGGTCCTTTGAGTGATATAATGGGTGTAGACACACAACTCTATTGATTTAGATTCTATTGTTTTAATGTTCTTATATGGACAGTGACAGATAAAGGCAAGCTTTTGAAATGTGCTGTAAATACGTTGTACATTCATATGGCTTTTTAACAGAATATATATTATTTGGATGCATCTGTTTGCACTAGACATGTTAAACACATGGAGAGAATCACAAAATCTGATTGGTTGATGGATCTTGGCTAATAATTTGCACAGATTTGGGCCAAGAAGGAACAAGACGAAGATATGATGAAAATGAATGAGTCACAATGGGTACGTTCTGTTCTGAGTTTTATACATCTCAGTGTGCCATATCAACACTCCGACTCACCTCCCCTCTCCATTTGTGTTGGCATAATGATGGACATCTGTGCCAGAGTTCAGAAGAATTGTTAACCAGTTTTATAAAGTTATGAAGTGACTTATTCCAAAAAAATTTTAATAATTTAATTGGAAAAGATTATCAAGGATCCAAGGATTAAGGCTCACAGATTCATGGCTATATCCACAATAGACACTGGGAACCACAGTAAGGAAATGATTCCCATTATTATTCAGATCAGTGGTCAACAGATGTGGGTTTTTTAGTGGCTGATTATAAAACTATTACTCACAATACTAAATATATGGTTACAGCCTTGCAAAGTGCCAATTTATTTATTGTTACTAACCCTAAGCCAAATCTAAACTATAAAGCACTGTTATTTCAGCCATTATCAGTGTACATTTGGAATTATACTTATTTGAATAGTTTTGTTTTTTACTCAGTTTCAACATATTTTTAATCACACATTATCACTGAAATAATAATATAATAATAAAAGTAATAGCCAATGACATTTCTCTATCAGCATATTTTATGGCAGTTATATATATATATACAGTGTATATATATATATATATATATATATATATACAGTGGGGCAAAAAAGTATTTAGTCAGCCACCAATTGTGCAAGTTCT